ACCGGTGCCGGTGCGGCGGCTGGCGCCGGCCGCGGGCCGCGTCTACGGGCGGCGCTGGCTGGTGCTGCTGCTCTTCTCGGTGCTGGGCTTCGCGCAGGGCCTCGTGTGGAACAGCTGGGGGCCCATCCAGAACTCGGCCCGCCTGGCCTTCGGCTTCAGCAGCTGGGACATCGCCCTGCTCGTCTTCTGGGGGCCCATCGGCTTCGCGCCCTGCTTCTTCTTCATGTGGCTCATGGACAAGAAGGGTGAGCGGGGCCGGGGCGGCGCGGGGGCTCCGGGCGCTCGTGCGGTGGTCGTGGTCATGGCCATGGTGGTAGCAGAGGTGAGAAGCCACCACTGCATCGTGGCCTCTTCTCCAAGMTTCCACCTACGTGGCCTCCATGAGGAACCATCTTCCTGCTGGTGCTTCCACCCAGACATCTCTCCTGGGGCCAGCTGCGTTAGCRGTGTTGGGGTTTCTGTTGAACATTTGAAGGACAAACACTCGTGCTGAGGTTTGGGTCAAGTTATGGCAGTGCTGGGAGTGGCGGCCCTGTACGGGAAAGGTATTTGGACCTCAAACACCGAGCGGGCAGCAAGTTGGTTTGGTTTTCGTCGTGTGCTATGAGGAAGCAGAGATGGCCAACACGAACCCAGAAGTTGTGCTCAGTCAGGGTTTTGTTTTGTTTTCTCCACAGAAGTCAAATGAAGGAGAATTTTCTAATGTACATTGGGGTCAGTAGCTTTTTGTGGCCTACTCCTTGAGACAGCGGTTGTGGTGGGAGACCCTCTCCAAGGCCTATTCCRTGTGTGAGCGGTCGCCCTGGGGTCTGCACCTGGGCGTTAAAAGTGCCTGTGTTTGCTTGAGCTTTTGGGCCTAAATCCACAGAATTGTTTGTTTTTTCTAACTCCTCTTCAAACAGGCCCTCTAAACAGAAGATAGGAGACTAAGCATCCTCGTGGATCTTGGTGTTAAGTGCTACTCTTTCCATTTATTTAGGAATTATTAACTCTTTTCTGCAGTGTGAAAGGGGGAAAGTGAAGGAAGGCAGGAGGGGTTGTTGCTTAAAAGGCATGTGCTTTGAAGCAGTGAAGTTGCCTTTCCTATAGCTGAAGAGACGCTGGGAGGAATAAAACCCTTTGGACTTCAAATATGTTCTCCAAATGACTCCATGGTGCCTAGAGAGCCGGGTTGCTTTCAGGCAATTTAGTMTTAAGTCAGCCATTTCTGTCTAGACTGCTCTGTAATAGTCCTGTTAATCACCTTAAAATTAAAAAGTAAGCTGTAACTGTGGTGATTTTGTTTTGCACAGCGCGGCAATGACTCTGTGTTACAAAGGAAATAATACTAAACTTGAACCTCCGCTTGCAGAACTAAGTCTGTGCTTTTGTATGTTCATTTCCTATGAAGTTGGCTCCAAGTTATGGAACACGTTTCTCCACAAAAGGACTTCTTGGTATTACTTTCCAGAAGAAATGTGTTTTGTTTCTGCAATGTGACTAATATTGGTGGTGGTGGGTATCCTAGTCTCAAATGTAGCTTGTTTTGGATGGCTCCCATAGCGAACCTGATGGTCTTCATTAGCAAGTGGTGGATGAGTCTTGTCCCTTTGGCTCCTGCCGCTGCTGCAGGACGCTCTTGTGGTGCTCAGGACCCTGTGTTTGGAGGTGCATTGAGGAGATGGATCTGCTCATTGGAGCAATGGCCCGCAGGAGAAGGGTGTCTGTGGCTCTTTGAAGCTGTAAGTGTGGCTGGATGAGACCTTGCAAGAGCAAAACCTCACATGCCTGGGGAATAATGCTCACACTTCTGTTGAATTTACCCTCCATAYCAAAAAAATAAGGAGAAACTGCAAGATTTATTCTCTGGTTTCATTCATCAGACATTGGAGTTAGCTAGTAGGGAATCTGTCAGGGGAAAAGAAAAGTGTCTGTGAAGTGTCAGCAGCTCAAACCTGCGAGCTAGCAGAAGTATGACCCTGGAGATGGCACATGTCAGAACTTGAGAGGAGATTCTGTTTTAGATAGTCCTGTATTTTTATGATTAAATAATGTGTATCCAGTTGGTATTGATACATCGCTSTCTGTTGTCAGTTACTGTTGTCAGACTGAGCTCCTTAAATCTTTGGTTATTTGATTGTAGCATATAGTTTGAAAGGTAAATTTGGCTCTTTACCAAACTTTGGTTGTATCTTGTGCATGTCCACTTCTTTTTCCAGTGCTGCTGCTTACGAGTGTTTATTTTTTTTCCCCKCTTCTTTTAATGAAATACAAGTTGAAAAGCTGAATATTCATGAATTGGCACTTGAATAATCTAGTCATCAGGTTGTAAGAAGCATTACTCGGACTGCCTGCTGCAGCTGCAACACGGTTTCTCAGAGAAGGGTGGTGTCCTCTGAGAAGAGAGGATAGGAGTGTTTATTTTTAGTAAATGATGTGCTGAATAAGCCACAATTAGCTGATCCTTAGTTCCGCCTATAAGGGATCCAGGAATTGGAAATTACAGCTTGTTGTTTTCGAATGGTTTCTTTGCTTTTTGTGACCTTTCCCCTCTCGGACTGTCAGTCCTATTTCTGGGAATTTTTGCACAGGCCTGTTTGGAGTTGGCACAGGTAATGTAGCTGGAGACTGGGGGGAAAAGATTGTCCAGAAGGGATACATCTTCCCCTTTGGGAATGAACCTGTCCCCATTCTTGCTCTCCTCCTTTGGCTAAAGGAGCTCTTTTTCTACTGTGTTTTCTTTTCCATTGGGGGAGTGGAGGGAGCTTTCCAAACTCATTTTAATGGGGTGCTGTCATAAAGGCAGTGGCAGCATCYGTAACACTTTCTAGTCCTCAACAGTGCTAAATAATTATTGAAACTGAGGTATTAGATTTGAGCAGGTGTAATTTGCCATTTTGCATCTTCAAAAACACCTGAAAAAGTTCTTATGTAAGTAGAGTTATAGGTGCTTTCTATGTGGTGGTAGATCGGTTTCTTGGTGAGGAAAGGTCAAAGGAGGGAGTGTGCAGTGGAGCTATCGTATTTTATTTTAGCAATAAAATGAGTCCCATTTAAAAAAGGTAATTATCTTTTAGAGATTCAGTAGGACTGAAGTTAAATGGCAAACTTCCCCCTGATTTCAGGAAGCCCAATATTGAATGGACCCTTGTTTACATACTTAAAATTAGCTACAGTTTGTCATGTGATACGTCAGTGTTCATGAATGTTTTGTGCCTTCAGTGTTGCGTTTCTTGGGAACTGTAAACATACACATAAAGATCTGTTAGGGTGTTTATACRTCCAAATCCTACTGAAATAAATTAAAAAAAAAAAAAAAAAACCTTTCTGGATCAGGTCATCTGGTCCTCTCTGTTTCTTTCTTTCTTTTCTTTAAAGCCAAACTTCGTAGCCACAATACAAGCTGTAGAAGCAACACAGAGTGTCAGGCTTCATTATGATCCATATAGTCAAGATAAGGCGGTGAAGAAAGAAATACTATATGATAATTTTACATTAAAGTAATTGAGTGGAATAGTGATGTGTTTACATTAATGTTTGGAGTATAGTGAGCCCAGCTTTATCCTATATTGAGTTTGAAGAAATTTGACATATTGCTCATAAATGTGAAATTTAATCTATTTCTTTTTATTGACTTTTTTTGTGAGGTGATATACACTTATGTGGATTGTGTAAACATTCTTAGTCACTTTATTTTACTAAAATTAAATTTTACACAGCATTGTTATCCTAGTGATTAAATTACACGGTAGAGAGAAAAAAATCACCAATCACTTAGCTTTCATTTTTAGCTGAGATTGACGCATCTATTGAAATTGTGAATGTTTTTATTTGTATGAATAGCTATACCTTTCCTGAATAGCAAACTCTTGATTTCATTGCTATCTCTTGAATGATTTAACTTGTCAGAGCCTCATATTCCTTCTCAATAAAACATTYGGTACTTCTCTCTTTCACAAGGGGTTTGTGAAGTTAAATCTTTTAATGYAGTCTGACAAAATAGTCATGAATATTGAACGTTTGAGCACTAAATTGGGCCTTACCAATATAAGAATGCCTTAGTTACTGTTTTGTATGAAGAATAAGCTACACCTGATAGACGGGTAGACTTCTGTAAAGTAGGTTTCCTGGTTGAAGCTTCTAAATTGTCAGTGTGTGCTACGAACKTGGGAACACTGATCTTCATTTCTGGCAACCTTTGGAGTATTTAAATTCAAGTCTAAGGTCAGTGGGAGAGGAAGAAAGACTTGAGCTCATCTTGTCCTCTCCCTATRTTAGATACGTATCTGGGAAGTGTTTGTGGAATGTTTTTGTTTTCTTCTTTAAGTGATGTGAGAGGGAGCAATAAATAGGAGATTGTTTCAAAGGCCAATGGAAACATAGCYGGTAATGTGAAAATCTTCCCCCGTTGTTGGTTTCCTTCTCTTTGGTTTTCTGTTGTGCTAGGCCTCTCAAGGTCCTTATCTGGTATTCAGGCTCTTGAGCCTTGTAGTGGTAGATACAAATTGGTGCATGTTGCTAATAACTTAAAAAAATYGCAGCAGATCCAATTGGTGATAAGTTCAGTGCTGATATAGTGTGAAGTATTTTCTATGGTGGCACTACAGCAGCATACTGACTTTTAGTAGAATTATTCACATCGCTGTAGAGTCCCAAGTCATCTCACAAGCACTTTTTTTTGGTTAGCAGACACGTCAAAATAAATATACAAATCATTGGCCTTAAAAGTCTTAAGAGTTGTCATCTTGTGGCTAGGAAACACATGTTCATCTCYTGTTTGTCATGAGCTCAGAAACAGACTTTTCTTAGATGCATTACTGCAAGAGATAGGGCTGATATTTCAAAACAAGCAATTTGATAGTTCATAGGTCAAGTTTAAGCATGAGTCTCAACTAAAAATTCCTAGCATAAAGTAGGTATAAGATAGTAAGGCCGTAACTTGGGAAGATTAAACTAAAAGGACTTGTAGACCTCACCTGTAAATACAGTCTACAGGAGAGAAATATCTGTGGGAAAACTTACAGAAATGAAAATCTGGGTAGAAATGAAAATGTGGGTAGAATGGCAAGGAGCCAGTGAGAAAAGAAAGTGTTCTGGAGCTTGACTGGAATATCCTCAGGTTACAAAGTGTACTTTTATCATATGAAACTGGTTTTACTCACTAACATTTATATTAATGGGAAAGGTCTTATTAACTGCAACAGCAGCAGCTTCAGAAGGCACTTTTGGATTTAAGACAAGGTGAATGTGAACTTAGTGCTTCGGT